GGTACATGGAGTGGACAACAGATGGACAACAAGGTAATGACCTGGGCACCAAGCTGAGTGACAATACACTGCTTAACTGGGAGACGTCAGAGACGCGGCCAAATGGCACTGGCAGAAGAGAGAAACCCCTTGGAGAGTCTGCATGGGGTCTTCAGTATGACAAGGAGCAAGATTTGGAGCCGGTCTTGGCAGAACCTGAAGCCGCAATCGCAGAAATTAAAAACCTGATGCATAAAGCTGTGATCCAAAGGCTACGGAAACCAACGGCAGTAACACCACTGCTGGGAGACGCTTCGAGGAGGCGTATGGAGAAACTCGACGACTCACCACCATGGGCTCCAGGTCAGGCAACCCCTGGGCTAACACCACCGGTCTCTGCTGGTCTCAGCACCAGTGACAACCCAGGAACCAGAGAGCGGCTGCTCACAGCTGCTGTCCCAATCTGGTTTAATTTGCAGGCATTTAATTGCAGCTGCAGGAATCACTTCTGACCTCAAACTGAAGTAACAGTTTAAGGCCACAGGGCTGAGTCAGAAGCAAAAGGGATCTGCAATGCAGCAGCAAACTGAGTTTGGATCTGAAATTAAGAAACCTACTTATAAAATATTTTAAAAACAGTTATTAACAATAAAATTCGTTTTGCTTACACAGCTTTTTTAACCTTTTAAAAGCGTGATAAAATTAGCAGAGAGCAAGAGTGTGTGTGCGTGCGTCTGCTGGAAAGGTTTTCTGTATAATTACAAGCCCTCTGATCAGTATAGCTCTTGGCGCTAGAATATTTGGGGGGGAAAAAAAAAAAACACATTTAAAATATGCTTGGTCTTTCTTGAGTCTTTTTACTACTCTCTGCCTTTGTTTGCCTTGCTTAGGAAAACCAGCTGGTATTAATTGCGCTTCGTACACCACCATCATGAACAGCAGCCAGATACCAGAAAATAAGGCCTAATCACAGGAATCTACTCAATTGTTTAAAAAAAACACCACAAGACAATTACCGCTCAGTGTTCGGAAAAGCAGAAAAACGAGAACAATCAAAAGAAAAGGCAGGAAGGAGGCTGCTGTATGCAGAACGTGATAAAAATAAACTACAATCACAGAAGGAGAAACAGAAATCTAGGTTACTTAACGGTAATCAGACTCCTCTAAACATATTGTCTGCCGCAAGCGAAGCTCGGAGATGTCGCATGCTCGCGCAGAGCGGATAGCCCAGGTCTTGACACGTACCTGGTGGCAGAGATGGGGTAGAAGTGTCACGTAAGAAGTTAGAGATGGAAGAGATCTGTTATACCAGCCTTTTCACCTCTTTTCCCATGCTCAGTCTTAAAATTATACCTTCCGCTGTCTTTGCTAGCCTTACTTCAAGTGATTGTTTCACCCGAGTACTGCACTGAAGAAGAGATAAAATTCTGGACCTGGCATAGCTTTCCTTGCCTGAAGCTACGCTGTGAACTCTGTTGAGCTGGGAGTAGGTGGGGGAAA